TTACTTGCAATCATGTAGTAGAAACGAATTAAATTGGTCAGACCAGTATAGTATTTTGTTCTCGTTTTCTTTCGAAAAAACATTTCAACGAATTTTTTTTTCCCTTTTTTTTTTTTTTTTTTTTTTCTTTTTTTACCGTACTTAATTCACTAAATATGATACGAAAATAGGATGTATCGAATCTCACACACTAATGTTCTTCTTCCCTTAAGAAAGAAAGGACTACCGTGTAATACTCCCTTTTCTTTTTGTCGGTCAGCCCTTGGGTACTCTGAAATCAACCCTTATCGCCCTTTCGTGTCTTCCATCTTCGCGATTCAAGAAGAAAGAAATAAAGAAATAAAGAAAGAACGTTGAGTGCTTGTGGAAAAGAGGAAGTGGTAAAATGATCTAAAGGTCTTTATGAAGCTCCGGTCTCGTTGATGAAAAGACGAATGAAAGAATGAAAAGAATGGTCTCGTGGGAGGGCTGGTGGTGGGCGTGGGGATGGGGGGTTGCGAAAAAAAAAATAAGAAAACTTCGGGTAAATACTTCAATGAATTTTTCTCACTTTTATACGTGTGTTATACCATAAAACGAAACGAAACGAAGCACAAAGAGACAAGGATATAAAATAATTTTTAGATTTGAGATCGGTAAATTTATTATGGTAGCAAAAAAGGAAAGAGAATAGTTTTTCTTACCAGCAGTTGAACGGCGTAAGATCTACGACGTTCCAGAAATCGTTGCTTTCTCGACTTTGCACAAGGGTAGCTACGGCAAGAGTGATGAGGGGTGCACCCCAGGCGAAGACGCTATATTTGAGATAGGTTGGTGGATCGTCACGGCGAGGTATTGAGGCCACTGTGGCATACAGATGATGGCACATCGCTGCTAACCAACAAACCACCGATACCCTCAGATATTGAAGGCTCAATCCCAGAGAAATGCAAAGCTCCGAATCCTAAAAGCCGATTAAAGTGTCGCATCGATTTACTTTTAATTGTTTCTTTTTATCTAGCACTCTCTCTCTCTCTCTCTCTCTCTCTCTACTATACCTTTTTCAAAGAGATTCTTTTCTATGTATTTCTTTTTTTATTTTTGTTGAAATAGATTTAACAAACGTGATCGACGAGACGATATTCGCGTATAACGATTTATTTCTTTTTATTTTATTTTATTTTATTTTTGTTCTATACCCTTTTTGTGTATTCGTTATCGGAGAAAATTTGTCGTCGTTTATAAAAGAAAAAAAAAAAAATGAAAGGGAGATAAAAAAAAGAGAGAGATAGAGGGTGAGAGATAAAAATCTTTTAGATTTTTTCTTTTTTTTTTTTACACGAATTCGAAACGACGAGAGAGAATCCTTAGGACCGTACAAAAGTGATGCTACTTTCGCATCCCTTGTAGTATTGCGTACATCCCTCCTTCCTTCGTTCCTTCGTTTCAACCCCATCTAAGAACTCATCCTAACGACCCGCTCGTGCTTCGAAAAATGTATCAAGGCCCATCTGGTACGTGATACGAAAGCATGTGATTTATGATTAACTATTTATTCGGCCCGGTTGTTGTGTTTCTCTCGCCTGTTTTATTTCTCTCTTACGAGAGCTCCATATTTTCTCTTCCGGTCTCTTTATTTGTGTTCCCACCCTCCATTCATCACTAACGATGTAATTGTTTCCTCTTTAAATATTCTTTTCATTTTATTATAGATTTAAATCCACGGGCTTACTTTTGTTTCACTTTGTTTTTGTATAGAAAATTATATTTTAAAAAACAATTATACATTATTGTAAAAAAATTAAGAACACCTGTTTCATCGAATTTTTATAATAATTTTTCTCTATCGTATTTAATATATTATATATAAAATATCGTAGTTTTATTATATTAATTCTTTTTTTCATTGGATTTTATTTTTAATGAAGAAACTTTTCTATTCTTTTTCTCTCGATTTATATTTGGAAAGTAATAACGTTGGATTTATTAACTTCTTCGTTCGTTTCGTATAAGGTGAAATTCGTAAAGGCTCGAGATTAATTAAAATTCCTTATATACTTACAAGCTACGTTTATTTGTATGTAAATGTAAATGTATGCGTTTGGGTTTTGATCTGTCTGTGTCTGTGTCTGTGTGTGTGTATAATACGTAACAAATTTACAATGAACGAGATAAGCGGTTACGAAAATTTATTTAAACTCTGAAGAATCGTGTATCAAGGTTGATTAAGATTTTAAAGGGTGCCTGTTTGTCTTTATTCCTTCGTATAATTAAAAAGGACGCGTAAGTATTTCCCCTGATACGTTTGTAATCTTCGTTTAAAACGAACGTCCTTACGTGACAATGAAAAAAAAAAAGAAAAAGAGAGAGGGGAAAGAATCAAATCAAAGGAAGATGAACACGTGCATACAACGTTATACTTGAAATCAAACTTTTATCAAAGAATACTTTTTATCAATTAAATTTTTATCAAGATGAAAGAGAGAGAGAGAGAGGGCTAAATCTTGAAAATTTTTTCCAACTAATTCATATAATTGATCGTATATAACACATATAAAAGATCCTATCTCTTTATTTATCTTTTTTTTTTTTCTTTTACTCTCGTTATATATAATATTAAAAAGGTACTCGAAAATTTCAACCAAGTTTCGTTAATTAAATTTTGAAAAAAAAAAAAAAAGGATAGATAGACGACGATTCTCATAGAATTCTTTCTCATTCTCCTCTTCTTTCTTTTTCACCCCTCTTTATCTCTTTTTCGATTTTTATGAGAAAACTTTATTGACCGCAATACATTTAACGGAAGAGAGGATTCTAACAATGTTCCCATTCATTTTCGATTTCTATGATATTACATTTTGAAATGAGTTATCAACAAAACTTTAGTATATTTAATCCATCTTTCACGTTGTTCATAATCTGATCGATTTAAAAGTCAAAAGAAAAAAAAACAGAAAAATTAAATAGATCATTATATTATATTATCGATAATTTTGTTTTGAAAAATAATAATGAATTCACTTTTATAAAAGGTATCGTATTATTATACTTGAGATAATTCAGGCGAATCGAAGTGCTATTGTTTGAAGCTGTTAATTGATGTACAATTTAATACATGAAATTCGATCGATAAGCACTGAATTATTTCTCTGAATATGATGAACATCGTCATGTATAATTTGTAATTATACGAAAAACTTGTTATCTCTTTTTCCATTTCTCTCTCTATCTCTCTCTTTCTCTCGTTGTGTTTTTCAATTTGTTGTACAATTATTTGAAAAATAATTAAAAATATTAATAACGACGTGTCTCTTTTTGTTAGTCGTTAAACAATTTAGTTAGAGGATTTATATACCATGCTCAACGAATCGAAGAACGAAACATCAATGAAGAACATAACGATCCCGAACTTCATATAGAATATGCTTGTTACTTCGAACGTGAAGTACTTCAACGATAATAACGATTCGATACCTGAGTATATAATTGACGTAATTATTATTTCCTTAACGTTAACGTTTCAATATTTTCCATCAAGTTACATCATAAATATCAAGGACGCGTGAATCGTTATCGATTATTCATCAAATTTATATAAGCGTGCTTCGATAATTACAAAAGTCATTTAAATTTCAAATTTAAACAAATGTATAACTCACTTATATTTCTTTTTCCTTTTTTTTTTTTTTTACCCTCTATCCATTTACAGTAAAATAATGTTCAATCATATTTTTTATGTTACAGAAAATATAATATAAAGAAATATTTTCAAATGTGTACACGTAGACGACTGAAAAGTATACACACTCTCTTCGATATAACCAAAAATACTTTTATATCATTTTATTTTTTTTATTTTTAAATAAAAGTAAGTTAGATGATAGAAAAAAGAATTGTTTCTATGTTAAGAGTTAAAAATGTTTCATCTCTATTCGTCTTAAGTTCAAAATATTTCAAACCATCGTCGTTTTAATTAGCCTCTCAAAACTTTTCAACTTATCCATGTAAATTTTTTCTAATATAATTCTCTTTTTTTTTATTTTTTTCTTGAAATAAACTGCACAAAATATATTTTGCCAATTTGAAACTCGTACCGTATATATAAAAATATACGTGAAAATAATTATTTATTGTATTTCCAAGAGCTTTAATAAAGCTTCTTTTTAAAACATTTGAAGATACGATGATGGTATATAAAATATAGTAAAGAAGGATAAGGAAGCAAGGTCTAAGGAGTTACGGTTATATCGAGGAGGATGATTTACGAGCACAAGACTCTCATTCTCGAAATAGTTTACGTCACACGTTTTAGAACTTACCGAATAGCAAAGGGGCTTTTCGAGCTTTTCGTCTTATTAATCGTAGCTATTTTCGCAACGATAACATCATCAACGAAGACCAATTTTAATTTGAGAAAATGAGAACCACCCTAAAAAGGAAGGAGGAGGGGGGGTGGGGTGGGGTAGGGGTGTAGTAGTGCAATGTAGAAATATATTACGTACAAAAATAGAATAACAATTGTAAATATAAAAATCTATTATAAATAATCGTATCCAAAAAGGCAAACGTTAATTTTTACAAAATTATTACAATTTAGATTGCATGTTTTTATAAAAGAAAAAAAAGAAAAATAAAGAGAAAGAAAAAAAGCATATGGCAGATATTCTCGCGACTAATTCGTGGGAACTGAAGGGCTGTAGCTTTCAGGGTCGTAACATCTTCGTCTATTTTTTGCGAAGAGAAAAGTGCCTTCTAGTCGGGCTATAAACTTCACCGAGATGCAATTACGAGGCTGTAATAAAGATGAGAATGTCAGAGAGATGAAAAGTAAGAGAAAGAGAGACAGGGAAAGGAAGAGAGAATGAATCAGAAAAGGGATGCTGGTTTACATTTTTTGTTCTTAAAGCTTCAAAACGACGATCCATTTCGCGTAGAGCTTTTTTTCATTTCTTTTTTGTTTTTTTGTTTTTTTATTCCGAGACGAAAAAAGAGTAAAAGAAAAGAAAAGAGAAAGAAAAAAAAATAGCGAGACATAAAATCTAACAAGACGTTTTCTCGCCCACGTCGTAAAAATTCGCGTGGGTGAATCGAAGTGTCATTTTTCTGTGTGGCAGCTCGTTTAATCGTCCGTGTCGTTTCAAAGGAATATAAAACTTTGCCTTTATTTTTTTCCATCGCGACGAGCTTACATCCTTATCGGTATCGACCAGTAGTAACAAACTTTTTGTCGGATCTATCGTAAGAAAATAAATTCCAAATTTTCCAGCGTCTTAGCTGGAGTATTTTTTTTTAGAAGAAAAGAAAAAGTATATATATATGTTACCGTTAAAGCCGGAAATCCGTCATTGCTAGTAATTCCTTGGCATAACTATGAATGCAAAGAGCCTTCAGACGAAGTCGTCGGAAATAAGACTTTTTGGAGAGATTTTCCTAGGCATCGAACATAATACTTTGATATCCTATAGAATATCAAATTACTATTTAAGCAACGCTGAAAAGAATACATTCTTCGGCACAGATACACGCAGCTATACAATCACACAATATCAGAGATTGCAATGCTGTTAAATTGTGCATCTTTGCAATTTCTTTGAAAAGTTTTGGTATATATTTTTTATACTAAAAGTAAATAGATTTTAGTAAAACTTGTATTAAATTAAAGTGCACTCTTTTATCTACACGTAGAATATAATATCGAGTTATAAATTTCGCATGTAAAGTTCAGAAAATGTCAGAGAATGCACTGCTGTAAGTTGTGCATTTTTGCAATTTCTTTGAAAAGTTTCGGTAAATATTTTTTATACTTTTAGCAAATGAATTTTAATAAAACTTATATTAAATTAAAGTGCACTCTTTTATCTACACGTAGAATATAATATCGAGTTATAAATTTAGCATGTAAAGTTCCGAAAATGTCAGAGAAGGCAATGCTGTAAAT